TTTGGGGAATTTTGGGATTTTGGAGACAATTTATGGGGGATTTTGGAGAAATTTTGGGAGAAATTTGGGAGGATTTTGGGGGGGTTTGGAGGGATTTTGGGGGGGAATTTGGGAGATTTTGGGTCATTCTTTGGGGGATTTTTTTGGGATTTTGGGAGATTTTTGAGAGGAATTTGGGGGAATTTTGGAAGGATTTGGGAGATTTTGGGGTTTTTTTTTGGAGGGAATTTAGGGAATTTTGGAAGGATTTGGGAGGTTTTGGAGATTTTGGGGGATTTTTTGGAAGTTTTGTGGGGGTTTTGGAGGGATTTTGGGTTTTTTTTTTGGAGGGAATTTAGGGAATTTTGGAAGGATTTGGGAGGTTTTGGGGAGTATTTGGGGAGATTTTGGGGAAGATTTTGGGGGATTTTAGGGGAATTTGGGTGATTTTGGGGCATTTAGGGTTTTTTGGGGGGATTTTGCAGAAGATTTTGGGAAAATTTGGGGGGATTTGGGAATTTTTGGGGAGAATTTGGGGAGATTTATGGGAGGATTTTGGAGAAAATTTTGGGGGATTTTGGAGAATATTTTGGGGGATTTTAAGGGAATTTGGGGGATTTTGGGGATGTTTGGGGATTTTTGGGCAGATTTTGGAGAAATTTTGGGAGAAATCTGGGAGAATTTGGGAGAATTTGGGTGGGTTGGGGGGGCTTGGAGGCATTTAGGGGCATTTTTGGGGGATTTTGGGAGATTTTGGGAATTTTAGGGGATTTTTGGGGGGATTTGGGAAGTCTTTTAGGGATTTTGGGGGATTTTTTTGAGATTTTGGGGATTTTTGGGGGGATTTTGGGGGAATTTTGGAGAAGATTTTGGGAGAAATTTGGGGGGATTTTGGGGGGTTTGGAGGCGTTTTGGGGCATTTTAGGGATGGAATTTGGGAGATTTTGGGTCGTTATTTGGGGGATTTTGGGGATTTTTTTGGGATTTTGGGGGGATTTCAGGGGGATTTTAGGGGATTTTTGGGGGGATTTGGGGATTTTGGGGAGAATTTGGGGGGATATTTGAGGGATATTTGCCAATTTCGGGGGGAGTTTTTTGGGATATTTTTTGGATATTTTTGGGGGATATTTGCCGATTTCTGGGGGATATTTGGGGGAGTTTTGGGGAATTTTGGGGATATTTTTGGGAGATATTTACCAATTTCGGGGGGATATTTGGGGGAATTTTGGGCTATTTTTGGGGAATATTTACCAATTTCGGGGGGATATTTGGGGCCGTTCCGGGGCCATTTTTGGGTTGAAATTCGGCGTTTTTGGGCAGGGAGCTGGAGCTGCCACCTGTGCCTGCG